CATGATTTGCCCACTGATGCAAGAGCATTTTCTTTTTTGGCCTCTTTAGAAATGTAAAGTTCTTCATTGCGGCTGATTAAGGGTTTTAGGTTGTTTAATTTCTCCAAAGTGCCTCCTGGATTTGAATAATTATAAGCCATTTTCTTTCTTTCTTTTTCCTGCAAGGTTTTGTCACGCTAGGCCCAGTTCGTTAGCGTTTTTAGCAGGATGTTTGAATTCTCACGGATAGTGATCTGATTTACAGAGCCAAATCACGAAGAAGTAGATTGGAATGAGGGGATTTACCCATTCTTTTCAATCGAAATAATTGTTCATTGTCAGTTGGCGTGATCAGTTTTTCTCTAATTTGGGAAAGTATCGCAGCCCAGTTTCTAACCTTTGTTCCGCAGGAGAGCAAACTCTTGTGGAGAAAGATTCTCCTTCCTCGAGGACAACGAAAAGTTCGTTTTTCAGTAGATCGGCCAACTTTGGTAATGTTTCTCCATTTCTGGTGGGGGCAAAAAACACATTTTCCGAGCTTACCCATCCACTCATAAAATTGCCGAACTGTGTTTTGAAATTCTACAATTTATCCGAAGCGCTCGGCTCTTTCGGCTTACTCCCGCCTCGAGGAGTAGGCACAGGCTTTTTTTGCTCACTGCCACTTCCACTCATTTTTGATCCTTTACTTTATATACTACATTTCACAGAGAAGCAATGCTAATGTTAGGTTTTTTTTCTCTCGCCTCACACGCCTTACGGGCGTGTGAGGCTCGCGCGCACTTCGCGCTTAAGACTCTTACGCCACGCTTTGCCGATTTCTTTACTGATTTTGAGAAAAAAACCGATTGTTTTGCATTCTACTGGAAAGAACATTTTTCTCACTTTCTCTCGGAGAAAGACGTATAATACGGTCGAACATCAGTACTATGCAGTAAAATCTCAGTACCATTTTGTTCAATCCCCGATATCAGGATCTAATAATCTTGAGAGCACAGTTAAAAAAAAAAAAATGCGAAATCGTTAAGAAATTCTGCACTACAGCATAACCCCGAATGAAAGATTGTATAGTGTTCCTAGTCAGACTTAGAGTTTGCTTAACAGCCAAAAAAAAAGGCCGAAATTACCTCTAATTTTGCCTTTTTTATCAATATTAGTTGTATTGTTTGTTTATCAGTTTTCTCAAAAATGCCGCGCACCTCACCTTGACCTCCAAACATCAACTTTGACATCTTACCTGAATGGCAACTTACTTATATTCTTTATTTTATTTTATTTTATTTCATTTTATTTACTTTTTATGAAAGAATCCCTTCTTATTTCAACATACCATTTTGATTTTCAGTAGATAATATCGTGAGCCGGAATCCTGGGGATTGTACAATACCATCAGAGTGGAATGTTATTAATGCGTAGTTTCCAGTGACCAAAACTACCTTTCCACTAAGTTCGCGCCCACAATATGTACCATGTGTTCTGTTGTCATCATCTACAATCGTCAAATAATCATACCTAGAAGAGAAAAAATATGCTTTTCACTTCTCAAGGGCAGTTAAATTCTTAGAAATAACCCTAACCGCCAAAAGAACATAAAAGCCTTTTATGTTGTCCTGCCTCAACTAATTGCGAGTCGTGCTTTATGGTGGAGTTAAGGAAGCTCCAAACGTTTCTGTGGAATATCAAGCCGCCGATCAAATTCCTTTATTTTATGTTGCACTCGAGTCACTCCCGAGCAGTCGAATTGCCACCGTCTACAAATGCCAATTAACGTTCAACAAGAGGTTTTTATGTTCTCTTGCTTTTGACTTACTTACAGATGACAAAGGCCTGTAAAAGAGATTTAACTCATCTCAACTCACGTAAAAACCTTGAGGCGTGAAGTCTTAATTTGGATTTTAAAAAAGCTATGGCATTTTCCAGATCGAAAACCATATCATTGGTCAGATCTCGGTTTAACCAGTGAGACATCTCTGCACCTTTTGAGCCCGCTATCTATGAGCACCAGCAACGAAGTTCGATTTTGTAAATAATAGTTTGAATTTTGTTCATTAGGCTGCGAAACAGCCGACTCCCATCGCTCTCTGCCGCTAGGAACATTTCGAGAGAGAGCCGTCTGCGCCGAAACAACAGTACCATACTAATGAAGTAAAAGCTGCCCGCACCTGGTCAATGACTAATGAATGCACTGTTTAGGCAGTATTTTAGGACAGGAAAGAATCGAAGAAATCGTAGAAATTATATTTTTTTCGGAAGTAATCTTTCACAAAATATCATGGTTTCTATACATGTTACTCTACTTAATTTTTTTTTTTTTTTTTTTATCCGAGAGCAAATGACACATTTGGAACCCAATTTGGAGGATGGTTTGGCTCCGCGTGATCTATCAGTGCGGGAAGGGGATCGTTAAAATCTTGCCATGGAGTTAAACTGTGCTTAATGTTGGTAGAAAACGCTGTGTTAAGTCAAAGGAATTCTGATGGCTTTTTGTGTTATTCTTTTTACCTAATAATTACTATTTCTTTCCAAATCAAAATTCAAAGTTTTGTTCATTTTCAGCGTCCAATTTTAAGAGTATCAGTGTGTTCTACATCCTTCTTCGGGTTATCATGATCAGTTTCTAAAGCCAGGTCTATCTTAATTTTAAAAAGAGAGGGCTATTCTCATTCGCCGGTGTTTTTCCCGGGGGAATATACTTACCTGTCAGCCTGGATTTTGCCTTACTTCTAGGCCTAATATCACAGATTCGCAAACTTGCAGCGTACAAGCCGAACTTCGGAATTTGTGGGTATGTTTTTACTAGCAAAAATGTTAAGTTTTAGAGTAATAAGTATCGCTTTAAGTTAAGTTCCTAGTCTACTCTTACCAAAGCCGAGTCAGTTAAGTGGTTTTCAATTGTTTGTCATCTGTCACGTTAACTTTAAATGGCAAAAGTGAATCTGTACCACGTGACCAAGTTTTCCCTTTTCTTGACGTTTACTGTTCATTACTTCTACAAAAAGGTTAAATAAATTGTTTCACGCCAGTTTTATCCATAAGAATTGCTTTGAGCTGTTTTTACCTGCTATTTTTTATTTGAGATACTCTCAACTTGAATCTCACGTTTGCCGTTTGCAGTTAACGTAACTCTAAATCTCTCTGTTGTTAAAAAATTACTTACCCACACCGAGAATGTAATTCCAGTTCAAAAGTTGCAAAATTGAGCTTCAGTGCCTTTCCTGATGGAATGGAAACGTTGTGCACACAGTGCATGTTATTTGGGTATTTTCTTGGAAATCCAGGACTTGTCAAGGTGTTGTTTACCACAGAACCACATCCTACAAAATCAGATTGTAATTCTACACGTCAACTTGTGTTCTATTAATCAATAGAGAACTTTGAGGTGTCGCCCTCAACGTTCCTTTTTCTACGGATTTTGCTTTTTCAATAACAAATTAAAACAAATTTCCTAAATCCCTCTATTTTCCCACTGGTTTAAAAATGCAATGTCGCAAACTTACAGGATATTACCTGAAATCAAATCTGACCTAGGGTGATTGAGCTTTTTAAACACGATAGGTGGATAACGAAAATTGCCACAAAAAAAAACTTAAAGAAGAAAAGTCGCCAGATGTTTGGTAGTTAAACACTAGTTTCTGTTTTCTCCATGTCAACTGATTGGGTGGACGGACAGGACAAAAATAGGGGCGTATAGTATATTCTGCGCGATAAAAATACATGCGAACCCCCATAAGAGAGCACCAAAAATGCAGACTCCATAACCGCTTAAGAAGAAGGTGTCCGAACACAGCTTTTTTCATGGAAGATAAGTTATTGCAAGTGTGTAGTTCCATGTTTTGCTAAAGTTCTCCGTATATTCCTGTTAGCATAGTTCACACTGCCAAAATAGAGATCAGACAATGCTTGAAGGACCATGAAGTGCTCGCTTACAAGGTTAAAACCAATGGAAATCATTAAACCGTCAGACCCAAATAGTGTGGTCGCAGTCGCAATTACAGGAGGTGGTCGTTTACTAGAGGTACCAACTGTGGAAAGTTTTGGTGTTTTGTTTACATGGTCGCTTATTACGAAAGGTAGTCACTCATAGGTTGGACTGTACAATATACTCACTTGGATCAGCACTCTGAGCTGAACTGTAACACAGCATCAGCGATAGCGCAAACACAAACTTCATCCTCCTGTTTAAGTAAAACGTGATGTTAAGGTGTTGTTCAGAAGGGCGCGGGGGAGGAGGGTAAGCAGGATCAATGAGTTTCCCTGTTGCAATTGTTGAATAAACTAATTATTAACTCTTCTTTTCCTTTTTAAATAACTTGGAGGAAAACAATCAGGGGCACCCAACGATGGTTCCCTTCAAAATACGTTGAAAACACTTTTTAGGCTATCCAGAGTACTTTTAGTTCTCTAGAAATGCATGCTAAGCGACGCTACAAAATTTGTATCTGTTCAGTCATCCTAGGGGAACTTAAGTCTTTTCGAAATTACAAGGGCTTCAGTATTTTTCTTCCGAAAATTTCGGTGTAATTTAACGTTTTACGAAAGTAAGAATTTTTCTGATTCCTCTCTCCATCACATTTTAGAATCCGAAAATTTTAGGTTTCGCTTTTCTACGAAAAATAGTGCAACCTGAGTAGAAAAATATTAAAAATTAAACTTCTGAAAATGGTAGGGAATGTATTAGAAAAAGCTTGGAAAATTGTGCATGAATGGAACGTTCATCTAGAAATTTTTAGCCGTCCTGACGCAAAAGAAAATTTTAGGCAAAATTTGCTTCTCCGAACAGATATTTTACAGAAAACTGTCGTTGGGAGCCAGTAGTAGGGGAGGCACCGGTTACTCCTTTTCTTTGCGGATTTAATTAACTTTTTGTGCGGTATAAATTAACGCAGATGAGGTCATGCATCTCATTAAGATAGGATGATGTCATAGTTGAAATTAATGCCGATGACGTCATGCATTCCATTAAGATAGGATGATGTCATAGTTTATTTTAAGCTGGCAAGGAGCAAATGACGTCAGAATACCCAAGGGTTGACGTCATCAAAAAATGTTGACATCATAATCTATAAATA